GGTCTTTGGCTGCACCAATTAAATTGTATCCTTGAAATTCCTTTCCACTTTCAGCAGAGCATAATATGATAATATCTTTAAATAAAAAAACTCTGCACCAATAATAATCAGCTAATAGGACGGGGTAATCTGTTATCATATCTACCACATCAGCGTCGCGTATTAAAAATGTAGGTTTGATTATTTTATTAAGACCCTGCTAAGTTATAAAACTTGGTTCCATTATTATCATTATCATTATTAGGTAAAAGTGCAGTTCAGGTGCGTATATTATTTCTTAGCGCATTTCGTATTTTAATTTTTTTTAATCATTTAAACTTACATGTATTCTTTAATAATTAAATCCAGGCAGTTATAGTTAACTAATTCTAGATTATAAATCACATCTTTTCTTTTTATTTTACTTCTAAAGAGTCTTTAAACATCCCCCAACCAAAGTGACAGGGTCCCCATTTGTTTGTATTTTTATTTTTACGCTATGCCAGATTTTTAGCCACCTATAAGTTAGTAATGCTATACGAAATTTTCAAACTAAGCATGTTCACAAAAAAGAATGAAATACTAGATTCTTCATTACGAACAAGCGCCCCCCCCCCCCCCCAACTTTTTTTTTTCTAATACGCTGTCCGTGATTGGTCAGCTCTAATTTGAGCACCCCTCCTCTTTTTTCGTATGCAAATGCGCTTATTACTGGTGACTGATTTGCGCTGAGTAAAGTGAGGGCTAGTGATTATTTTTTTTATATTATAAGACGGACTCGTTTTGGCTTTGCGGTATTGCTGGTTGTAGGATCATTTTGTTTAAAATTGCAGGACGACCAAGAAACAATAACTAAAATTGTTGATGCAACAGGCATTTTTAATGGTGCAGCATTTGGTTTATACGCGCACCTTGTGGGGCAACAAATAACGTTAATACAACTGGAATTTCTCCTAAGGCGCTCGTAACAATTGCAATGTGGCTTGTAAGCTGGGTTCGTATGTCAAGTATGTGAGCTCCCCATAATTACCGGGATCTGCATATAACCCGAAACGGGATCTCACCCGAAACGAGATCTCGCCGTAACCGGTATCCCACCAGGATCGGTTGTATTCCAATAAAAAGATGGTATATAACTTTTAAAATACTTTTTATAAAGAATTTACATAAGTTTACACGGGAAAATAAGAGATTCAAACAGAAATAATATACGCACCTGAACTGCACTTTTACCCATTATTATATAGTAATAACCACCAATAATTATATTTTTTACAAAAAACACTTGAAGTTGAAGATATATTATAATATATAATATATGAATATGATACTCAGTCAGTCAGTTATCGCAATTTAGTTATGTTTTTAATTTTTCAGTTCAGGTTCAAAGAATGTCTTTACAAGAACACCAAGCAGTACAGGAATCCTCAAATTTTGGTACACAAGTCCAAGTGACCCCGCCAATACTTGTAACCACTTCATCTTCACCACAACTTATTCCATCAGTTGTACCACCACCACAATTGTTCCTATCACAGGTCCCTCCCCCACCACCAATTCCCCAATCAAATGTGCCTCCGTCACCACAAGTGCCACCATCAATGAAGCCTCCGCCGCCACCACCACCGATGCCACCATCACTGATCCCTTCACTTATTCCACCTATGATGTCACTTCTGAACTCCGAATTTACAGATACCGTATTAGATAATTCCACACAGAGGACAAAACAGGGAGGGATGATTTTAGAAAAAACATATTCATCCCTTGAACAACAAAGTAGAAATGCATGCAAATTCTTCAAAATTAAAAAGGGGTTAGTATTTATAATTTAATTTCATTCTTGTGTATATTTATATGTTATTCTCATGCAACATTCATTGCCAGATTAAGACCTGTGGAGGCATCAAAATTTTGCCTATCAAAATTTTGCCTCCACCCAGTGGTGTAATAAGGGGGCAACATTTTAGTTTTTATCTTAGTCATCAAATGAAGCCAGTCTCTCATAATTGATGATTAGCATATTAGGAAAAGTTTATGACCTATGTTACATGTTATTTCCCTTAATTTTTCTTATTTTTTACAACTTTTTATGTATGGAGATGCCCATGATGCTCATCACTACTATAAATTACATCATGACAAATGTGTTCAAGATCAAATCAAGTCCTCACTCCCCCTAAAATGGAACACGCTTGTTGCACGGTCCCTAAAACTACTAAGGCATGTGCATCATTTCCTTTTTGTTTAATCTGGCACTGCCCAAATTGTATATATAAAAACATTTTCATAATTTCTATTTATGGGGGGTGAAAACTGAAATTATATGTACTTTTATTTTTAAGAATTATATACTTTTATTCTAAGCATATGAAATAGATGAAAATAAAATGTATATTTGATTGATCTTTACTTAACGTTCCATACATTTCTTTTACTTTTAGCTTGTTAGCATTAAATACATTTTTAATTTTAAACTTAAATGTTAGGGATGTTATAATGTGATGTCATGTTGTTTTTTTTTGGCTAACTGATTATTGATAGTAGGCTATAAATCCAATTTGAAATGGATAAACCTTTTTTTTGTTGGCTCTCATAGAAATATATTATTGTAATTTTATTAACATGAGAATTAAGCTTTTAAGAGCCTGTCATTGGAGAATCATAAAACATTTAAAGTTGAAAATTCATTATCTTTATTTATTACAGTTACATACTTTATTAAATGATTTATTAAAAATGTTTGGAAATATTACAAGAAACACAATGATATTAATAACTATTTATACTATTAATTTCAGATTATTAGATGAAGCTGAGTGTCCCTATTTATTTCTGTCGAATTACCATCCAGTTACACCAGTGATTCAAAGTGGACCAATGTAACTAATTTTTTAAAGAATGTATTACTCTTCAAATTAATTTATTCATGACAGGCCTTATATGCCTGAGTTAACTGCAACAGTCTACAAAAATTTTCCAGAACTCAAAACTTCACTTAAGGATCGACATGATATCAATTGCTCTGAATTATAAATGACCCTTTAGCATGGAGCAACTCCTTTGAGTCTTGGGACTACACTTTCTCATTCTTAAGCTGCAGTGCCAGCTTTTTTTTTATACTGCTGTACAGATTTAATATAGGTAAAACTAAGACTTCATTAAACCAAGGCCGACTGTCATAGTGAAATCTTGAAGCACTGATGGAGACAGGGCTGACTGATGGTTGTAATCAAACTATTTTGGTTTTTTAATGCCATGTTGTCTATGTCTGATGTATGGCCACTAAAGTTCATTCGTTGTTTATTAATATGTTTTAGATGCAGATTGAAGCACATTTATCAAGTTGTAGTTTCCTTTAGATCATTTTTTAATTCAGAGCCCGGTATACAGTTATGGCTATCAACAAATTAGCCTAAGTATTATTCTTAGAAATGGAACTCCATCATTATTTAATGAGCGTTGTCAATGTATTTTCTTACACTTTATCCTTTCTTTTAATCTTTTTTATTGGCATTAAATTGTTTTAAAAAAATTTAACAACGCTATAAAAAATTCAAGTTTAGCTCAGTTTGTTCCGTCTTTCATTGTTCAAATTTTCTAAAATTTAGAGCAGTATTTCAAATCTCCTTTTAAAACTGATTTTAAATGGCCCACTATAGCTTGAGAATTTGCATGATGCGTGTAAAAAAAAAGAAAATTTTAAGGTGAAAGTTTTACAAACAGCATCAATTGATTCAGTATTGTTTGGGAGAGCACAGGAAAAGTTATAACATTGAAAGGAGGGAGGTCACAAAATCTGAGGAGTGGTATGGTTTGACAGATAGCAGTAATTTATGTTAAGCACATCAGCAAAGCAACTATTCTGTAACATAGCTTGACATGAAATTGGATAATAGTTTCTCCTTCTTTCTTTTGCTTGTGTGGGGAGACGTTGCAGAGTATTGGGCATAATTACTAATGGCATGGGGAAAGAGGAATTGGGAAACCAAAGGTAGCTTGATGTATAGCCATTTGATAATTTTAAAAAATGTCCATGCCCCTCACAATTGGAACAATGTTAGATGAAATAGATAGGAGAGCTCCGAGAGTTAATGACTGTGCTTTGTAGGATGATAATGACATGAAAGTCTTTGGGTCAGAGTAATCTAGATGGGGGCTGGGATACTAAAGGTGTCACAAGTCGCTACGGTGGGCAAAATTAACCATTTATGGGACCATATTATTTAAATAGGTACCCGGTAGTCTAGCCAGGTATGAGAGAGGCTGTGTTCATCCGGTAATGTTTTGATGAACAGGTTAAGTACCTGGTTTTCAGAGATTAAGTTTTAGACGTTCAAGTTCAATGAGTGGAAAGAATGATACAACCTGTGTTTGTTTGTAGTTTAGTGCAATTCAGTCAAGGAGGAATTTTAAGATACTGAATGAACATTTATTCAAAGTATTTTTATGAACAAACAAAATAAAGCATGGCTAGATGAATTCTAGGTGTCATATTTTTCTTCTGATGAATTTCCACAAATATGGAAAAGAGGTAACATAATTTTTAGCCATGTTCTTGGAAGCATCCACATCAGTGAAGCTGGATTCTCTGTAATGACCAACATCAAGTTAAAAAAATCTTAAAGCTTTGACTGGTGGACATTTAAAAAATCTAATCAGGACAGATGCTACTTACAACTATCTCTAATTAAGAAAATTATAAGTACAATTCAAAGCAAAATAGATTCTTACAGAAATGCTTTAGTTCTATTCTTAATGAGCTGATAATGGAATAGGACATATGATTCTTATGCATAAGGTAATAATTATTTATGATGAGAATTGTTTTCTAAAAGTATTTAAAAAATCCTTCTTTTGAGATAACATGTGCGGCCCTCAGCTGCATGACACAACATTTTTTTTGCCCAGAGGGTTAAACGTTTGGACAGAACTGATTTAGAGAGTTACTTTTGTTTATTAATAAATCATAAATAGTTCTTCTTAAGAAAAGTTTAGATATCCTTTATCTTTTCACATGCAGATGTGGCCTGGTTGCACTTGCTATGGCATCAGAGTTAATTGGTGGCCAATGTGTTACAACTGAGGATGTTTTTGAAGAGGCCAAAGTTAAATTTTACACCAAACAAGGAGAAATGTTTTCAGGTAATATTTAATTAAAACTCATGTAGCTTTGATTGCCAATATGGTTGTTCTTAATTATGTCAACTTTAGGAAATATTTTGTGATCTAAACTTGTTTAATAACTAAATTTACAATTTCCAAACCACAAAATATAAGGATATTACGCAACAAATAATGGAATTCAGTAGTTATTACTGCTTACATGATTTAAACTTTAGGAATTAAAAAAATATATAAAGATTTAGAAAGATTGCAGCATATTGTTGTTATTATTAGATCTAACTAATGTTATTGGACAGAATAGCATTCTAGAAATGTTGTAAAACAACTTTTAAATGTATTTAACAGCACAAGCAATCAGTGACTTAGCCTCCCACTTCCTGTGTTGTGGTGTAGAATGTATTAAGTTGAGAAATAGCCCTACAACACAAATGTTAGATGGTCATGAGATAATCGGGCATCTTTTGAAAGGAAATCTTGTTCTGGTCCCGTATCCTTCACACTGTGTTTATTGCATTTATATTTTAATTTTCACTATTATTAGGTCCTTTTGCTTGGCATTCTTTTTAATGATAAAATGATAACTGTTGCCAGTTACTAAGGATTATTTTCTTAACATTGCTTAAGCTATGATGCAGACAGAAATCATGGCCCATGCCAGAAGAAAGGACACAAAGCTCATTGGGCCTTACTGACAGGTATCTGACATAGTTTCCACTCAACAAAAATATACTTTCATTTATTTATCAAAATTATGCTGTGTATGTCCAGAAAAGAAGCTGTAATGAGTTAGAACTTGTTCTGTGTGTGTCCAGAATGTAATGAGTTACAACTTGTTCTGTGTGTGTCCAGAATGTAATGAGTTACAACTTGTTCTGTGCCTGTTCAGACAATAAGCTTCTTGACATTTTTACTGCAATGAGTTACAACTTGATAATTTTAAAAAATTGCAAATGGAAAATTGGTTTGGCAATACTCTATATCATATTATCTGTGTACAGTTCATCCCCCCTCTACTTATGAGGAAAAAAATAGTATTTAGATGTTTAAATTATAATCTTTAAAATCCATTTGTAGTTTTAAGTTAATTGTTATAACTTTTGCTTCTATTTCAGGTTTCTTTGCTGCCATACAAATCACTGAAGCTCCTGAATATCTGACTATTGAATGTGAGAAAGATTCAGAGATTCCAACACTTTACTATTGGTCAAATTTGCCCACCAAACCATGTAGTGAAAAAATCATTAGCTTTATTGAAAGCAATAAGGACTTTTATGTATTCGGTCACCATGGAAAAAGTAAATATGCCGGAGTGTGGTCACTTGATGATTTATTGCTTAGTAATGACAATTTAATGGAGGCTGGTCCAGAGAGGAACAGTGAGGAGTACGTTATGCCCCCTGGTGGTGTAGAGGCTGGGTTGAGATCTCAGATCGTTGTACTCAAGCAAGCATCATCAGTTTGAGGAAAGGATTTTAGGTAAGTTAGTTTCACAATAGGTCACAATCAGCCTCCTGTCTATTGTAGTACACAAAGAAGAGACATTTGGAGAATTTTCTGAACTGTATTAGAACTGTATATTTTAACTTCAGCTATAGATACTTAGAAGTTTTTATTTCAATGGTTTCCAAACATTTATCCTTTGCCAAAAATTGCCTTTGCACCTCCCACATTTTCGGCTAATTAATGTTTTTTAAAATTGTTAACCATCTTAGATGTTATAACTGTCACACCATTGTAAAGCTCTGCCTAGTTGTTGTGGAGTTCTTTGTCCAAAAGTAATATGAAAACAAAATGATTTGTGGCCTACTTCATGAACCATCGGAGTGTAAACAAAAATGGTGATAATTTATACAAACTGGCTTGAGATTTGCCAATGTTTTTCTTTTTAAAATTATAAAATTCTTATATGAATTAAATAATTTAATAATGCATATAAAACAAACACACACTGTAACCAAATAGGAAGATGAAATTACTACTGGTGTTATAACCAATTCTGGAAAGTTGTAATTACCGTATTTATTGGCGTATAACACACACTTTTTCTCCCTGAAAATAGGGGGCAAATAATGTTTGCGTGTTATACACCGATATAATGTTAAGGACCCATAGTACATACCGCATAGCGACGCGAATTGTGCGTGTTATACACCTGTGCGTGTTATACGCCAATAAATACGGTATGTACAACTTCATGTATTGTAAGTGGGCAAGGATTTTTCTCTAACATTAACCTCAATTCAGGGATATCAGGGGATCAGCAGGGGCTTACTGATGGTGGGCTAAACAGGAAATGCATTTTCAAAGTATGTTAGGTGTTATGTATGTAATAAATGTATGATGAAGTTCACTGATTAACTTTCAAAGTCATTATGCTATAGCTGAGGATAGCACTCTGAACATTAAATAATTTTTAAAGAATTTTTATTCAACTCTTGTATTTCTGGTGAATAATTCCAAAAGTTTACGGCTTGTCATTTTGTAAAAGTTTATAAGACTTTGAACTCTCATTTGGACAGCTGAAATACTGAAACTCATACTTCAAACTATATGCATTAAATAGGACCTCTGCCATCTACATTATTCAATGCACATATTTTTATAGCAAATTTAAAAGTGAGGATGAAGGGTGTGACCCATATTTGCACACAGGCAATTTTACACAATAGCTCTGTTGACTTTTCTTAATTATTTTTTTGTTGTGTCGCTTGTTATAATTTGATCACCTGGAGGAAATTATAAACATTAACTATGACCAACTCATAAGCAGACTACTTATTCCACTGAAATATTTTTCCAAAATGAGTATATATGGTACCGGTACTGAGAATATATTTAATAATGAGCTAGGCTGATAGTAGCCCCAAAGAACCGAAAAGATTTAAGGTCGTTTGGATTCTTGAAAAGGATCATAGTTATTTTCTAATATTTTCAAAATCAAATAAAAAATAAAAGGCGCAAAAAATATTATATATCCGCTTTTATTTTATTAAAAGTTTAAGTATTGTTTTTATGATTTACAAATATTATAAAGTAACAACAAACGAACTATCTTAAGCATTTTATATGCATTTTAAAGTTATGAAAAAAAAATAATAATAATTATGATCAAAGAAATACACCGAGATCACATTTATCGGGCAAGCCCAACTATCTGTTGCTTGTAGTGCGTTTTTTAGTGCGTTGTTAATATTGGGAAATAAAATTAAAATTAATTTGTTCTAAATTACCAAGTAAATGACATCATAGTAGGAATTTTAGCCAAAACTCTTAAGTTTCTTTGATGTAATAAGCCTGAGTTACAAAACTGATATTGTATTTTCCCCTTCTTAAAAGTAAAATTAATAAATATAATTGATTGCTTTTTAAATTGTTAATAAAACACACACAAATTTTAGCTTTGTATTTTTAACATTTAATACGTTTTTAATTTTTTTATTCCAAAAAATATACTTCTATTAAATTTATAACATAATAAAGACTTAACCTTTAAATATATTTCTAATAAGAAAGGACAGTTTAAGTCAATCAGTGCAGCGAAATTTCATAGCCAAATAGCATTCACTAATATGTTAGGTTGGGTATGGAAGGGACCACAATTCAGTGGAAGATTCTACTAATTTTATCTAAATCTGGAAGTGTGTGTGTATGTGTCGGTATGTGGGGGGGGGGGGGGGGGGTTTTTGCCCCGGGGGGGGGGGGGGGGGGGGGGGGTCATTTTGCCCCAGGCAGCACAAGATAGATCTCAAAATAAAGGAATTAATTTGATAAATAATTAACCTTCTTGGGTACATACATATTGGAGGTAGGAAATAGGAGGTGTACATTTTTACGTGGAGGACAATATATTTAAATCCTATGGTATTAAATTGGTGAAAAAAAGAGATGTTACATTCTCTTTTTACAATTAAACCTATATGTACCACTTAAGAAAATCAATGGCGTTAAAAAAAAATGGGTACATTTATATAAGTATACCCATGAATCTCAAAACCCAATCATTTTACACACTTGATAATTTAATTTTGAAAAATGTTGATGGGTTAATATTTTCTATTAAAAAAAATGAAAATATTTTTGTTTTTACTTTGCGAAAAGTAAAGTAAATGTGTATTTTTATGAGATTAACAATTACAAAAACAAAAATACACTCAAGCCTGTTATAGACGTGAAAAATGGTTGCGAGATACGTCTTTGGATAACGATTTTACGATTTTCTGATAATGTATAATTAAAAAACAAGGCAAGAGTGTTTTTAAATTTTTATGAAGGTATCAATATATCAAATTCCTTTAATTTAAACTATATTTATATCATATTTAGAGTTTTTATTGTAAATTTAAGATTATGTTTTTTAACAATTTTTAGAGAAAAAAAATTGTAGTTCAAGGGCACGAAAAGGGGTAAATCTAAAGTATTTATCTAGCGTAGAAATCCTCCCTCAATTTACTTCTTTAATGACAAAAGTAATATAATTAGTGATAATTTAGATTGGGTTATTTAAGGTCATGTTCAGGAGGAAAAAAATGTAGTTAAGGGACATGAAAGGGAGTTGGGTAGGCGTATAATATATAGCGAATAATACTTCTCAAAACTTAATATTGTTAGAAACGTAAATATCATTACATAGATACTTCTTTTTAAAGTTAGGAATCGTAATGAGCTTTTGAAATAGCAGATAGAAATTATTGCAAAGGACCTACCATTATTATACCGATAACATTAGGTTACATATTCTAGTATATTAGTATTAAACCACGTCTCGGTAATGAACACAATAATTGAACTTCCGGCTAGCAACAAGATGGCGGCCTTTCAAAGTTTTGAATACCGAAATTGTACACAAATCAAGAAGAAACTGTGAAATGAATATCATAATTACAAAATTCAATTTCAGGGAAGTCAAAGTTGTCTTGAGCTTGAGACTACGCCTTACAGGCATGTATAGAATCAAGCTCTGGATCATATTTTAGTTGTATATGTGTTCCTGTTTTCCTTGCGTAGTCGGCCATCTTAGCTGTCATCAAAATCATTGCTCATGAATGCTAATGATACGCTTGGCGACACACCCCGGTTGATGTATTCACGCGATCGATTATTATCAATTAATGTCAAACGCATACTCTTGTCTGCTAATTTGGTGTATCGACTGAAAGAACTCTCCATTGGTCGAGGCCTGCCCCGTAAGAGTATCCATAATAGTGGTGGACGGAAAGTTGGCGCACGACGAAAGAAGAAGCGCCTTTATCGAGCAGGTCGTCGGAAACAGCGTCCACTGAATTACCACCATGGCGAAAGCAATGTCAACATTATTGGTTGTGGAGATCGTTATGTAAAGCCTTTAAACGAGGCCGTCAGTAACGAAGGAAATCAGCCACATACTGTGTCATCCATCGCGACCATTCCCTACGTTTCAATACTAAGAGGACTACCGGTGGCTCATGATTTCACATCGCCTCGACGGGGAGTGACGCGATCAAATTTAATTGTTGTTGACTGCCAGCCTGCTGTGAAGCCGCAGCAATCACGGCATTTCGGAGTGCTATATTTCAACTCCCAGTCCTGCAGGAATAAGACGGCCGAGGTGTGTGATCTTGTCTTGGAGAGCAGGGCCGACCTTGTGTTCATTACCGAGACGTGGTTTAAACGTGTCGGAGATGAGGTGAAGCTTCAAGAAATTACACCTCCGGACTACGTCCTTCACTCCTGCCCACGGCAGTCGTGCAGTGGTGGTGGTATTGCCGTCCTTTACAGGAACTCCCTTAAAAACAGTGTAACATTCTCAAAATCGGACGAGTTTGTTTCATTTGAAATGTGCAAAATGCAACTTAATTA